CGTCGTTAGACGGGAGACATTTCCCGTCACGCAGGGTGCAGTCGCACCTCCAGTCGACAGATCTCCAGTATCAGCTCTTGATACTCGTAATGGCTCAAAAGGGCCACCACTTACGGGCTATTCATGCCCGTGCCACCTTTTGGGTGGCTTAATCTTCATCAATCTTAAAATCAATCGATTTTAGAGTAGCGATGACATTTTTGTTTTCAGGTTTTAGACTATATTCGATCTTGGAGCATCGATACAATGTGGTGTTACCTCACCTCAAACATATATCTCCTAACCATAAGCACTTGACTATATACTTTCTCCCCACTCAACTAGCCTCGCCTCTTCCTCTGCAGTTTCTTGTGGTATTGTGAAGGTGACCTCAAAATAATGCCATTAACACATAAATTATGTTTTATTTAAAATCATTAAAAATATCATACTAAACTGCGTAATAAATATTTATACCGTACTGTAATGATGATACTTTATCTGGCAAGTGGTTTTCTGTCCAAAACCCGACCATATGTAGCCTAGTATCGCGCCTTCCCCTCACATTAAGGAACACCGCCCACCCACTGTCGTAATGTAACCTCAGTTCAGCGTTGAATTAACGTAGATGTCGTTGCTTTAACGTTACTCTTGGATACTGAGGCTACTGGGCACTGGTTTTGATATACATAAAGTAGGGCAGATATTTTCCATTGCGGATATTTTCTTCCACCAGCCTTTTTTACAATCTAGATTGTCAGTGACTTCTATAGAGCTGATTTTTACATGTAAACAAACTGTTCAGAAATGGGGGGATTGTCTCAGATACGATCTTGATGTATATACAACATTTTGTATTGAAAACTTTGATGTATATGTAAAAATCCCTTTTGGATAAAACGCCACAAGAAAGGGTAAAGTCGCATGGCACTGAAAAAATTATTACATCCAGGTTTTGGGAATACTTTACTTGTATATAACAAGAATGAATATTGATGTAACACCCACGAAGTAAAGACTGTTTAAATGCGCATTCACCACACAGTACATGCATCCTTTCTCAGCCAAAAATCACATTCACTCCAAAAAAAATACCACTTACGGGCTATTCATGCTCGTACCACCTCTTGGGTGGCTTAATCGTCATCAATCAATCAATCTGATGTAACACATCCTAGCGTTGGGCTGGTCGGTAGAGCGACGGCAATGTATTCCACAGTCTCTTGCCGTTGGAGCTTCCAAGTGGTTGGGCACCGTACCTTGACCATATGTCCTCATATCCCAGCTCTTTGTCTGCGTATCCCTTTCCAGTGCTGTATTGTCATACTGATTGATTGATTGATCAAGATTAAGTCACCCAAGAGGTGTTACGGGCATGAATAGCCTGTAATGTCATACTGGCCTAGCCCTTCCTTATATTTCCCTTCCCCAACCGAGGGATGAAAGAGAAGAGGAATACCTCGGGGATAGGCTCTTGGTCCCACCATATTCAACGCTTTATTAACTGTTTACAAACGGCATATTTTCAAAAATTACAACATTTGGTGGCAAATTAACAAAATTGCATCCAAAGATTGTCGTATATAAGTATTCAGAGGGACGTAAACAAGTTAAACTAAACATTAAAAATGCATTTCATTATAAATGTAATTTTTTTTTTTTTTTTTTTTTTTTTTTTTTTTTTTTTTTGAGATATATACAAGAGTTGTAACATTCTTGTACAGCCACTAGTACGCGTAGCGTTTCGGGCAAGTCCTTAATCCTATGGTCCCTGGAATACGATCCCCTGCCGCGAAGAATCGTTTTTTCATCCAAGTACACATTTTACTGTTGCGTTAAACAGAGGCTACAGTTAAGGAATTGCGCCCAGTAAATCCTCCCCGGCCAGGATACGAACCCATGACATAGCGCTCGCGGAACGCCAGGCGAGTGTCTTACCACTACACCACGGAGAATTACCGCACTTGGCGCAACATGTTTTTAAATGTGAAGCCACAATATTACATAAGCCATTAGCAGAGGTATGAGAGCGAGAGAGAGAGAGAGAGAGAGACCTCGGAGTCGTCATTAGTAACCTCAGATACACACACCATGTCTAACCACTAACAAAACAGATGGCTTGGTTAAATGCCAAGAAATTGTGATGTTCAAACACTATACACTCTGCGGACACTAGAATTTTGTTTATTAATATATTAGGTACATCTGCATTTGTGCAGCTACCCTAAACTATATGAGAAGGAGTACAGTGTGCCAAAATGCTACGTGATGCTTAAAAATCCCCATCACAGAGGATGGTTAGTCATACAGAGGCATGTTATAAGCAGTCTGCACTGGCAGACTCCTGGTGCATTATGAAGATATCATTAACACAAGAGTGAATAAGGCAGCAGTGATACTGAAAGTCCCCATCTCGCAGGATGGTTAGTCACACAGAGCCATATGTTTAGTAGTCTGCACTGGCAAATTTTGGGTGCAATATGAGGATATCTTCAAGAACACGAGAGTGAATAAAGTAATTTCAAAGCTCCAGGTACCTCATGCCAACTGGTCTGAAAGGTCTAATAACTGGGCATTCGGTGATGTAGTGTGGGAGATCATGCCGCAGTTCCTGCTCACAGAGTTTGCACATTCTACGGACTACAGTGGTGAAGTTCAAACACTATACATTCTACGGACTCTACAATGGTGAAGTTCAAACACTATACATTCTACGGACTCTACAATGGTGAAGTTCAAACACTATACATTCTACGGACTCTACAATGGTGAAGTTCAAACACTATACATTCTACGGACTCTACAATGGTGAAGTTCAAACACTATACATTTTACTGAGTCTAGGGAACATTAGTCAGACTACACCTTGAACTGCAAGGGAAGAAGATAAATTATAAACACTAGAGACGTGCGACTTGACTAACGTAATCATTAATTGACAAACGCCAGAAGAAAGATTTCTAAAACTAAAGGAGCTTACTCCAGGAATAGAGACACCGAGGAGACATAATCCCACCCTTCAAGATGTTAGAGACATGTGACATATGGTCTCACAAGGACCTTTTATGAGGTACGACAGTGAAAAATAACAGCATGAAAGGGAAGAGGAAGACCTCTTGATAATAACGATAATAATTATAATTATCGAAGAATATACATTGGTTATATTGCATTCTGTAGATGCATAATACAGCACTGCTATTTTGTAGGCCACTAAAATTATATACAATTGTACAGCACATGTATATACAGGGAGTCCCATAAATTTTGAACCATCACTCTTTAGGGTGTAATATATTATAGGATTCATCTCCTCATTAATGTTGACATGATTACTCGTCCTCCCAACTACTACGTCTCATTATGTACCGTATAGATTAGGTTAGGTGGGATGCTTGGGTTCGTACGATTATGGTTATTTAAGGACTTTATATTTTGTACGTTGTGGCATATCAAGGGACCGGGGTGGAGTTGCACACATAGCAGGTCAGCCAGAGGCTTAGGGCCCCCGTACGAAAATCCTCCCTCTTTCCCCTGCCACAAAAAAAATGAAATAAAATAAACGTAAGGTCACGTCCAGACCCCCCCTTGAGAGAGCGTCGGTTTTGACACCTGACCTCACGGTAGCCTTAAATAATTTCCTACTAGCCGGCAGCCTCACCTTAGGCTGCCGGCTAGTAGGAATCCTTAATCCATAAACCTTAATAGTTTACTACTGCTGGTAGCCTCATGGTATTCTTCATGCAATAACTTTTCTCATGTTTTTCATTGTACATACCTTCTTTTGAAGCTGCTTATTGAATTCTCGTCGGCGATCTCTTCTTATTGCCAATTTGTGTGTTTTGCTTGCGTGTGTATTGCTTGCTTGCGTGGCCGCGCTCGTGTTTTTTCGCCATTGACGGAGTGAAAACACTTGCCAGGTTGTGGCCTTCAGTGGCGAAGCTTTTTCCATACACTTGAGGTTTCTTCTGAGGTCGATTGCCCTTCCCCCGGCAGATAAAATCCTGAGGGTAATCTCGTATAATCCAGATATAATACCAGCACATACGCGCGTCAAGACCTTGGTATGTAGGCAAGGTCAGCCTCATGCCTACTGTTTTGTGTGGGGGTACACGCAATATGACAGGTCCGAATCAATGCTTTTGCAATATTTTTGCGCAATTGTACCTGACATTGAGACATTTTTTCCTGAAAGGGTGAATATTTGAGAGGGAGCTGTTTGATATTATTGACAAGATTACTAGATGTTTTGTTGTTAAATAAATCATGACAAATGACGTTGATGTATATCTTTGTTAACAAAAACGTTGATTAAACGTTATTCAAACATGCTTAGCCCGCGGGGATGTGTTCTTTGTGTTTATGTACAATGTAAGTTTTAAGACAGGCTGCAGGTCAAGACTTCAATCATAAATTCTTTACTCAAGTTTCGCTTCTTACTAGGCTATGGAAGCTAGGTCGAGAGAAGCCTCGTGAGCGCTGGTGTGTGTGTGTGTGTTGTCAACTATGGTACAACTACGTCACTGATATATTTTAATATCAGTGTACCGCTGGCCTTAAAATAAATCACATTACCTGTTTGCATTTAGTGCAGGTGACAAATATCCACACACAACAGTGAAACCTAGCACCAGGAAATCCCCAACCAGTCTTCACACACCAAATAATACCCTTGGTAATCTAATGTCTTCCTGTCCACACCTCCTTCCTGGAGAAGGAGAGGGAGGGGGAGGTGTAGGAGTGGGAGACTTAGTGAAAGAACTATAGGGGAAGGAAGGCTGAACTGTCAGAAAAAGGAAGCAAGATTAAGGAAAATAAAATTAGTGAAAAATCGTCAACAAATAAAAAGCTGGGGTTGTTCTGTGACTGTGACACACACACACACACACACACACACACACACACACACACACACACACACACACACACACACACACACACACACAAGCTGTATTACACTAGCTACGCCTTATATACAAGTCTTAATATCAGTTATAAACATGTTTCTTATATTTCCACAGACGACTGCTTGGAGGGTGGCCCCATCTGTTTCCCACAACGCCAACCCTCTGCCACCAGCAACGCTGACAACGTTGTTAAAAACAAGTTTACCCTGCCGCCATCAACGCAGATAACAACGCTCGGTAGCCAGCCCGTCTTCTCGTGCGTTTACAACGTCACTAAACCGATGTACTAAATTAACACAACCTAACTTAACCGAGGATCCACGTATAGAAAACGCGACAGCACGTCAATTTTGCGAGCCGCTATGATTTTTAGTACATCAGTTTTTGCCCTTAGGGGATTTATTCATCAAAGTGTCGAGTATTATTCGAGTGGACGGGTTGCTGTAGAAACCCTCAACTTTCAGCCAACGGATGTCCGCTCCCATTAACCCCTGCGTCGTTACTACTCACAACATTATCAATATATTCACGCCCAATTATGCAATCATCTGATTCTCAGACGTCATCGAGAGGCGACCATCAGCTTATTGGTGGCCCTTATTGCCGCCAAAATCTTCAAGAGTTGTTAACGCCGCCAATGGAACTAACGCAACTAACAGCTAACGAGTCACCGTGCATGGCGTTAAACCAAGCACCTGATCCTCTCGATATTATCAGCTGATTCCGAAGATGTCGCAGAAACGTCTACAGAAACTCGACATCGACGTCAAGAATTCATCGTTGTTCATCGGCCAAAATAGTGAAATTGAATCATATTTGCCTCCGGGTGCATTGCCCGGGGAAAAAGAGGATTATATTTTCTTAAACCTTGTTGGTAAAAAAAAATTGAATTAATATTATTTGTTAAATATGTGACATTTATATTTTTATACCAAGTGCAGATAATAAACATAAACCAGCTACTCTTATTTATATACAGTAAGTGTGAATATGTTCGTGTGTTCAATTTAAGTTCAAGTATGTTTATTGAGACAAGAAAGAAATACATCTCAAAGGGATAGAGTAGCTTAGGCTATTTCTACGTTGTCGAACAGCCGTTTCAGCCGTTATAAAAATATAATCAATAATGACGCAAAACTGCGTATAAATTCGATCATATTAATGTTCAATCTTCATATGACAACTAATGAAGGGAAAACTCATTGTAGAGATGGCTTATAGTGACAACACGTGCAAGACCTGAACTAAACTAAACTGCAGTAATAACATAATTCGTGAACACTACGAGTTGTTTAACAAAAGTTTAAACAAGCCATTCGGCCCTGCCTTTAACTATCTCTCCCCCTCAAGTAAGTAATTATCAAAAGAAGGTACCAAGCCGGGAATAAGGCTATGTAGCACCATCAAATGTGCGGGACAATCATAGGGCCTCGCGTTTCAAGTGAAGAGTTAAAACGGATACCAAATACAAATCCAACAGAAGCCCTAAATGAGTCGGAGAGACTAAACCAATAGCAGATATTTAAGACGAGTGTGTTTAGTGAGGAAAAACTGTGTAAGTGTTGGCCAGGACCGAAGGGAACACAAACGAGGAAGGTTCTTACTGAAGAATTTAACTCACAAGAGACTAATCCAGTCACACAAGAAACACAGGATTTATGACCTTGAAATAACCAAAATGTCTCAGTTTAAGGTAAGTAGATTAATTATTGTTATTTATTAATTTTATGTATAATAATAATGTATACAGTATTATATAATTAACATATATAATAATAATAATTTATTCACAAGAACATTCTTGCAAAACCACTAAAATGTATTTTTTTTATTACCAAGCTTAGGTATACTCAGCAATGTGCTAGTTAGTTTAGTTTAGTTCATTTATTATGCACCCCATACCCATCTTGTGGGCGGTAGTGGAAAGGGTTACAGAGGCACATAATGGGCTCAGGGACTGAACCTCACAATTCATTTAGCTAAGCAAGTTACAATCTTGATGAGCTAGTTACAAAATTCAATACCCATCGTCACATCAACAATGGGCTCGAGACCGACCACAAGTACAGGTTCTAAATTAAGCAACTGACATATGTGGAGAGCTAGTGTCAAAATTTATGTTTGTCCTGCACACCGCCCCCCATCCAGTGGGCAGCGGTGGATAGGTTACAATCACTTAGTTACTACCTACAGTTAGCAAACTGGGGATATTTGGCTAATATTTCTGGTAGCAGATCATTTTGAATGAAATATTGACACATCGCTGGAACATTGGTTATAGAATTGTCTCTAAATTCGCGTATCTTTTCGCACTCCATCACATAGTGACGGAGGGTGTTGGAATAATTTTGTTGACACAGTTTACATTTGGTCAGGTCTACATCAGCAGATAATGAGAATTCCCAGAGATACTTGTAACCGAGTCTAAGCCGAGCAGTAGTAACATCTAGAAGTCTGCTGATTTTATTGGATGATCCATAGATGTGTGGCTCCTCTTGCATGATAGTATGATGATGATCATCTAATATTCTCACCTCACAGGATGGTTAGTCATATTGCTATAACAGAATTATTCCTACATAATTCCTAACATTATATTCCACAACATACTACAATTCCTAATATACTACATATTCCTACAAAATTCTTAACACTGATTTAACTGAATTTAACTCTAACCTTAGAAATCTAATACTAGAAAACAGACTGAACAAAAACCACTTAATTATTTCTGGGGACTTTAACATTGACCTCTGCGAGCCTGATAACCCTCCTGCTGCTAGTTTCCTCAACTGTATGAATTCCTGCTTCCTCATACCCTTAATCACTAGACCTAGAATCACGGATAGTACTGCCACAGCTCTTGATCACATCTGGCCCAACATAACCTCTCCGCTTACTTCAGGGATAATCACTGATAGCACTACAGACCATTACCCCACATTTCTCCTAACCAACATTCCCAAACCACCTCTAGATACAAGGAAGATAAGCTTTAGGTTGCATAATGAAACTTCTATAGGCAATTTTATAGCTGCTGCAGCTAATATCAACTGGGAGTCCGAATTAGGTACCATAGGGGACATCAACCTAGCAGTGCAATCATTTCTTCAAAAAACTCTCAGCCTTTATAACACCCACTGTCCTATGCTAACGAAACAAGTCACAACTAAAAGGCTAAACAATCCTAGGCTTACAAAGGGGATACTTAAATCTATTAATAAAAAACATGACCTTGAGAAAAAGTATAGGTTAGGTATCGTCTCCAAAGAACTTTCAAAGAATTACTCATCATTACTATCTAAAATAATTAGAAGAGCCAAAATTAAATACTACGAAGATAAATTTACTCAAACAAAGGGCAACATCAAGAAAACATGGAGCACAATTTCACAAATATTGGGATCAAAAAAGATTTTAAATAACAAACCAATAATCCTGTCCAATAACGATGGTCTGCTTTCAGCCTCAAATACTGCTATTGAATTCAATAGGTTCTTCTCATCCATTGGGTCATCCCTTGCTAATGATATTCTATCTTCCAGTACTAATGCTCAGGACTATCTTACAGGTAACTACCCACAGTCTCTGTACCTCTAACGCCCGCTAATTCCACTGATGTAAATGAGGTAATACTTTCCCTTAAGACCAAGTCTAGTGCCCTTGCGGAGATACCAACTCTAATCTACAAAAAAGCCTCCAGATCTTTAGCCCCTGCCATTGCATTGCTCTACAACAAGTTACTTGAACTCCAAACTTTTCCAGATATTCTAAAAAAAGCGAGAGTAACCCCAGTCCACAAATGTGGTGATCTCACTGATGTCAACAACTTCAGACCTATATCCTATATCAATTCTGCCAAACTTGTCAAAAATATTTGAAAAACTAATCTACAAGCAGCTTTACTCTTATCTAGCCAAACACAATATACTAAGTTGACCAGACCACACACTGGAAATTGAAGGGACGACGACGTTTCGGTCCGTCCTGGACCATTCTCAAGTTACCGAAACGTCGTCGTCCCTTCAATTTCTAGTGTGTGGTCTGGTCAACATACTTCAGCCACGTTATTGTGACTCATCGCCTGCACAATATACTAAGCTCTTATCAATATGGCTTCAGACCCCAAAAAGCACTAACGATGCACTTATTAGTATGATTAACTTGATACATGCAGCTCTTGATAAAAATGAGTTCCCTGTTGGGTTATTTGTGGACCTACGTAAGGCTTTTGACACAGTCAACCAACAAAACCTTCTTAAATTACATCATTATAGAGTCAGAGGTCACTCCCTCCAATACCTTCAGTCCTACCTTACTGACAGGCGCCAGTATGTTTCTGTGAATAATTTCATTTCTCCGACACTACCTATAAACATTGGTGTTCCACAGGGAAGCATACTTGGCCCTCTCCTCTTTCTCATCTACATTAATGACCTTCCAAATGCCTCTCAACACCTCAAACCAATCTTATTTGCTGATGACACAACTTTCATTTTCTCTAGTCCTGACCCTCTTGCTCTAAATGTCACTGTGAATACTGAACTAAATAAAGTCCATCTTTGGCTAACTGCAAACAAACTTACCCTTAACATTGACAAAACTTTCTATATTTTGTTTGGTAATAAATCATCAAATGAAATTAATCTAAGAATATACAATATACAAATCAGTAGTAAAGTTGATGGTAAATTCCTTGGTGTCCTCGTCGATAACAAGCTGAATTTCCAGGGACACATTCTAAATATAGCGCAAAAAGTTTCTAAAACTGTTGGCATTCTTTCTAAGATTAGATATTATGTTCCTCGCCCTGCCCTGGTGACGCTCTATTACTCTCTCATCTATCCATATCTCAACTATGGTATTTGTGTTTAGGGTTCTCTACCCTGGAAACACAAACGGAAACTGTCTCTATTTCCCGCTTGTTACAACTTGTAATAAAGTTGTAACAACTTGGCTTAATGTGTTTATGGCGTGAAATTGGGTCTGAAACCATATTGGCAAGAGCTAAGTATATTGAGTTTGGCTAGATAAGAGTAAAGCTGCTTGTAGATTAGCTTTTCAAATATTTTTGACTAAGGTTGGTAGAATTGATATCGGTCTGTAATTGTTGACATCAGTGAGTTCACCACATTTGTGGACCGGGGTTACTCTCGCTTTTTTTTTTTTTTAGAATATCCGAAAAAGTTTGGAGTTCAAGTGATTTATTGAAGAGCAATGCAATAGAAACTAGAAATCTGGAGGCTTTTTTGTAAATTAGAGATGGTATCTCATCAAGGGCGCTTGACTTAGTTTTAAGGAAAAGGATTACCTCATTAACGTCAGAGGAATTAGCGGGAGCTAGGTGGCTAAATTAGTGGCTTTAAATATTGTATGTACTAGCTCTGTCTATAAATCCAACATTATGTTTGTAACGCATCATCTATGTGTGTACTTTTACGTGAATAAACATATGAATTTGAATTTGACGTTTCGGGCAGGTCCTTACCCGCCAAACACACGACGAAAATACGACGTTGCCACAACGTTGGAACAAGTTTTAACAGCTAACAATTGTAACAACCAATACAGCAAGTTGTAGCAACGTTCTAATACGTCATAACAAGATGTAACACCTTTATCACACGTTGTAACAAGGGAATCATAGGGTCCATTACGTTGTGTGATTGCAGGGTAATCTAACACATCAGGTAAGATGAAAAGGTACATTGTAGCAAAGAATTATATCAACATATAACTACAATATAAACTGACAGAGGTGATTGCACAGGTAAGGATGTATGTCTTAAGTGCTAATATTGAGGGAAGTGGGTAGTACAAGATGCAGTGTGAGTTTGAAGCACAAGGTAGGAAACTATGAGGATGAAATTAGGTACTTTTTGGTTATACTTTTGAATACGTTGTCCAACTTTGACATTAATGTTCAATCTTATATTGAAGAAGCTTGAAGAATAGAAGACTATATTGAAGAATAGGCAATTCTGAATAGGTTGGACCATTTTTTAATTCGTCAGGGAGTGAGTTCCAAAGACTGAGTCATTTTATTTGCATGGCGTGTTTGCACAGATTTAGTATGACTGGGGATATATATATATATATATATATATATATATATCCCCAGGGATATATATATATATATATATATATATATATATATATATATATATATATATATATATATATATATACTATGCTGCCTGTCCCGAAACAAGGCTAATTATTACTAAAAATATTGTATAATTCAGCTTTGCAGAGTGACGTGGATGCAGACAACGTTATGGGGGCTGCTAGCTGTGTGGCTCTCTGGCGGCTCGTGGGCGGCTGCCATAGCCTTCACCAACAATGGTGTGTACTCACTTATTTGTGCTTGCGGGGGTTGAGCTTTGTCTCTTTGGTCCCGCCTCTCAACTGTCAATCAACTGGTGTACAGATTCCTGAGCCTACTGGGCTCTATCATATCTACATTTGAAACTGTGTATGGAGTCAGCCTCCACCACATCACTTCCTAATGCATTCCATTTACTAACTAATCTGACATTGAAAAAAATCTTTCTAATGTCTCTATGGCTCATCTGGGTACTAAGTTTCCACCTGTGTCCCCTTGTTCGTGTTCCACCCGTGCTGAAAAGGTTGTCTTTGTCCACCCTGTCAATTCCCCTGAGAATTTTGTAGGTGGTTATCATGTCTCGCCTTATTCTTCTGTCTTCCAGGGACGTGAGGTTCAGCTCCTTCAGCCTTTCCTCGTAGCTCATACCTCTCAGTTCCGGGACAAGTCTGGTGGCATACCGCTGGATCTTCTCTAACGTTGTCTTGTGTTTAACTAGATATCTAGGCTCCTGGCAGGAGCTGCATATTCCAGGATTGGTCTGACATGTATGTGCTGTAGTATGTCTCTTTGATGTTGGTTGTTGAGTGTCAGAGTCTTAACAGCCCCGGGCACAAATTATCATCCAAATGAGTGGCTGGATCATTGCATGCTCCTTCATGGGTCTTGTGGTGTGAGCTTCATATGATCTGTCTGGGCCTTGTGGTGTGAGCTTCATATGGTCTGTCTGGGTCATGTGGTGTGAGCTTCATATGGTTTGTCTGGGTCTTGAGGTGCCAGCTTCATGGTCTGTCTGGGCCTTGTGGTGTGAGCTTCATATGGTCTGTCTGGGTCTTGTGGTGTGAGCTTCATATGGTCTGTCTGGATCTTGAGGTGCCAGCTTCATGGTCTGTCTGGGCCTTGTGGTGTGACCTTCATATGGTCTGTCTGGGTCTTGTGGTGTGAGCTTCATATGGTCTGTCTGGGTCTTGAGGTGCCAGCTTCATGGTCTGTCTGGGTCTTGTGGTGTGAGCTTCATATGGTCTGTCTGGGTCTTGTGGTGTGAGCTTCATATGGTCTGTCTGGGTCTTGAGGCGCCAGCTTCATGGTCTGTTTGGGTCTTGTGGTGTGAGCTTCATATGGTCTGTTTGGGTCTTGTGGTGTGAGCTTCATATGGTCTGTCTGGGTCTTGAGGTGCCAGCTTCATGGTCTGTTTGGGTCTTGTGGTGTGAGCTTCATATGGTCTGTCTGGGTCTTGTGGTGTGAGCTTCATATGGTCTGTCTGGGCCTTATGGTGTGAGCTTCATATGGTCTGTCTGGGTCTTGAGGTGCCAGCTTCATGGTCTGTACTCACCTAGTTGTACTCACCTAGTTGTGCTTGCGGGGGTTGAGTTCTGGCTCTTTGGTCCCGCCTCTCAACCGTCAATCAACTGGTGTACAGGTTCCTGAGCCTATCGGGCTCTATCATATCTACACTTGAAACTGTGTATGGAGTCAGCCTCCACCACATCACTTCCTAATGCATTCCATTTGTCAACCACTCTGACACTAAAAAAGTTCTTTCTAATATCTCTGTGGCTCATTTGGGCACTCAGTTTCCTCCTGTGTCCCCTTGTGCATGTTCCCTTTGTGTTAAATAGCCTGTCTTTATCTACCCTATCAATTCCCTTCAGAATCTTGAATGTGGTGATCATGTCCCCCTAACTCTTCTGTCTTCCAGCGAAGTGAGGTTTAATTCCCGTAGTCTCTCCTCGTAGCTCATACCTCTCAGCTCGGGTACTAGTCTGGTGGCAAACCTTTGAACCTTTTCCAGTTTAGTCTTATCCTTGACAAGATATGGACTCCATGCTGGGGCTGCATACTCCAGGATTGGCCTGACATATGTGGTATACAAAGTTCTGAATGATTCTTTACACAAGTTTCTGAATGCCGTTCGTATGTTGGCCAGCCTGGCATATGCCGCTAATGTTATCCTCTTGATATGGGCTGCAGGAGACAGGTCTGGCGTGATATCAACTCCCAAGTCTTTTTCTTTCTCTGACTCCTGAAGAATTTCCTCTCCCAGATGATACCTTGTATCTGGCCTCCTGCTCCCTACACCTATCTTCATTACATTACATTTGGTTGGGTTAAACTCTAACAACCATTTGTTCGACCATTCCTTCAGTTTGTCTAGGTCTTCTTGAAGCCTCAAACAGTCCTCTTCTGTCTTACTCCTTCTCATAATTTTGGTATCGTCCGCAAACATTGAAAGAAATGAATCTATACCCTCCGGGAGATCATTTACATATATCAGAAACAAGATAGGACCGAGTACAGAGCCCTGTGGGACTCCACAGGGCTCTGTCTGGGCCTTGTGGTGTAAGCTTCATGGTCTTTCTGGGCCTAGTAGTGTGAGCTTCATGGTCTGTCTGGGTTTTGGGGTGCGAGCTTCATGGTCTGTCTGGGCCTAGTAGTGTGAGCTTCATGGTCTGTCTGAGCCTTGTAGTGTGAGCTTCATGGTCTGTCTGGGCCTTGTGGCCCAGACAGCCACGAGCTTCATGGTCTGTCTGAGCCGTGTGGTGTGAGCTTCATGGTCTGTCTGAGCCTTGTAGTGTGAGCTTCATGGTCTGTCTGAGCCTTGTAGTGTGAGCTTCATGGTCTGTCTAAGCCTTGTAGTGTGAGCTTCATGGTCTGTCTGAGCCTTGTAGTGTGAGCTTCATGGTCTGTCTGAGCCTTGTAGTGTGAGCTTCATGGTCTGTCTGAGCCTTGTAGTGTGAGCTTCATGGTCTGTCTGAGCCTTGTAGTGTGAGCTTCATGGTCTGTCTGAGCCTTGTGGTACGAGCTTCATGGTCTGCCTTGGCCTTGTTGCACGAGCTTCATGGGCTGACTAAGCCTTGTGACATGAACTTCATGGTCTGTTTGAGCTTTGTGGCTCAGGACCACTGAAACAACTGTATAAGTACAGTATCTCAGAAACTTTTTTACGAAGCACTGAAAACCTCTACGGGAACAACATATTTCACGCTTGACTCCCTGAAAATTGCATGGTGGTTTTTATACATGCTAATATTTCTTAGTGTTTAACTTAGGCTGACCCAAAGCAGCTTATGTCTATCCCATACCCCAGACCATTCTCCCTGCAAAGTTGGGTGAGGCTAGCCCTAAATGTCTGGCCTTCAAACTTGGACAGATAGACATTCTCTCTTATAGATATTGATAGATGTAGGCTGTCTTATATCCTTCCCATCCCTATCTTTACCTTCCATGTCATGCAGTCATTCAACCTGTCCATCCCTATCCTTACCTTGTATATAATAAATTGAAATTCTATCTGTCAAATATTACCTTTTACATTTTCCATTATTTTCACTAATTCACTGTTTGTGAGGGTCTGTATTATTATCTTCAGCAGATGATAATGAGACAGAAAGAGTTGCAAGTTCATTTCACAACACGTCAGAGTGTGAAAATGACAAGCCCCACCACGACGGGATCCGCTTGGTCACTTTGCGGTGGAGCGAGGTGGGCGTTTACTACACAATAACTGCTTTTGTCATAATAGCAGGCCTTACCAAGCTAGGTAAGTCACTAAGTTGATGTTATGAACAAGATGATAACCTGAAATATTGTAATTCAATAATGAGTTGCAAATGAATGCATCCTTAAGTATACTATATTATAATGAAGGAAATCCTGCATTGTTTGAGGGATCTTATATGCAGAAATTAGGTTATTTGACAGATTTTATTGAATTTTATAGATTTCAGATTTATTGTTGGTTAACATAAATATATTATACAAATCCAATTCTATTCATACTGGAACAGGATTTGTATGCAGCAATTCTGTTGCTGGTAATACCACCTCTGAAGATTTTTGCTTGCACATTTGGGTCGGTATTTCAGATTGGTTTAGTGAAATCATTTGTCAGTAAGATTGGCCTAGAATAATTTACAGTAGTTACTACATCCTACAAGTTACTCTATAACTTGTAGGATGGTTGTGTATGAAAATGTCTGGAGAGGTTCAAGAGCTATAGTGGTGTTATCTGTCAGGAGAGCAAGATAACCTATCATGATCATGAACGATAACATTAATACTCTGGTATTTAGGTCACTGACTTAGCAGTCCCCATGATGTAATGGTAAGACACTCGCCCAGCGCTTTGCAAGCGCTTTGGCCTGGGTTCGTATCCTGGTCGGGGAGGATTGACTGGGCGCCAATCCTTAACTGTAGCCTCTGTTCACCCAGCAGTGAATGGGTACCTGGTTGTTAAAGGATTTGGCGGGTCGTATTCAGAGGAAAAGTTGGATTAAGGACCTGCCCGAAATGCTATGCGTGCCAGTGGCTTTACAAGAATGTAAGAACTCTTGTATATACTGCACTGTATAAATAAAAAAATGACTTGGGTGGGTTCATGTCAGGTTTCTTTGAATTTGTGGGGAAAGTATTTGAATATTTTAGAAATTTAATACAGTACACTATTAGATTATATACTTACTCTCATATAGCCATAGAACCTAGCAGTTACATACTGTCCTTTCAGGAGTACAGTTGGGTTCGTTCTTGACTTACAACCGGAAATTCTGGTTTCAAATCCAGATTTGAATTCTGGTTTGGCAGGGCAGATTAAATGGTTGGACTTGTTTCCTATCACCTATTGCCTCTGTTCACCGAACAGTAAATAGGTACCCAAGAGTTAGTCAGCTTGTTGTAGGGTTGCATCCAGGGGAGGGTCAGTAATTCAACCAGGAGGGGGGAGAGGATCTTGATATAAACCTATCATGCATATATATATATACAATGCCTGCCTGTCCCCTGAAAAATGAATAATTATTATTATTATTTAATGTTGATTTTGTTTGTGGGAATTTAGAAAACAATTGTCCTCCTTATTACCCTCCATTTTATAATTACATATACTGTATAGGTACTGTAACCCTACAGGGTCAGAGAAGATGAATTAAAATACTGGACAATGATGATAAAATATTTTTGTAGTGCTAATAAGTCTTACGTGGAAAAAAAGTGAATAGACAGCTAGAATAAAAGTACCGATGAAGAAAGGAAACCACGTGCATTTTTGTTTTGGGTTTCTAGGTTTCCATCACCTTCACTGGATCGCCAACAGGGTCCCGGAGTCGTGCGTCTTAGTCGTCCTTGGAGTCGCTCTAGGCCTCATTGTATTTTTCACCACACAGTAAGTATATCATTTAGTGATACAGATGTGAGGAAATGGTTCTGTTGTAGAGATTACATGATTATTAGCAGTTGGCCAGTCCAGATCTTAGTGGCATTTCGTACTAAAAAATTTTGAAACCTATGTTGAGCAAATGGCTACAGAAATAGTTTTGGGAGCACATGTTATTTATTTATTTATTTATTTTTATTTATATAAGAAGGTACAATGGATTGTGAAAGTACATATGATGGTCATTAAGTGGTACATTCTTACAAAGTCACTAACATGGCTTTGTACAAACTAACAAAGCCAAAAGCCCTCCTTTGCTCATGAACTTTTCTTATTATTTGAAGACTCCCAAAATCATGGCACCAGCTACCTGCAAAGCTGTAAATACCAAAACTCTGTTGGGTTTTAAAATACAACTGGAAAAAATCATCAGGGAAAATGGGGAGACCTTTGACAAGCCTTTTTACCCATTAGTATTAAGCTTTAGTCATTAATGTTTTTCCTGCCCGAAACGCTTTGCGTAATAGTGGCTTTAGGCATTGTATGTACTAGCTCTATCTATTAATCCAACAAACTTTGTAAAATCTCTTTATGTATGTACCTTACCTAAATAAACATTTATTTATTTATTTATTATTTATATTTTATATATATTTATTACTTTTAAAGAAATAGTCTGGCTGGGTTAACAACTTGTAGATTGTTAATTTTCTAATAATTTCTAATCAGTGAGATTAACCGTGTCCTGTTTTGTGTGTAGAGGTAATGGTTCTGTGGCCATCAGCTTTCCTGGTATGAGAATTGAATCTGCTCTGGGCTCTTAACTCTGCTCTGATTTTCATTGCTCCAACACTAAGATTTTTTTCAGGTCAATAATGTTTTTCCTGAAAGTGACTCCTAGGTAGCTCCTAAAGTTTATGATTCCTAAAACTATGATTCCACCAACACACTCTTGACTCACCAGTCCTCCAAAACCCAGTGATCATGTACCAGAAGTCACAGCCAGATTCTGACTCATTCTACATAATATTCTTACCCTGCTGAGTTGCTGTCACTGCCTGCAACAGCCCTGGCTGGGTGTCTAATGTGCTACTTAATAATTATTCTATCAATAGGATGTGCTCCAAAGTGGCACTGTTTTGCCCTGTCTTGTTGCAGTCTTTCTGCACTGATGTCTGCTCTTTCTTACGATATCCTTTACAAGCTTTACACATCTACACTTAATAGATGTTCCTCATCCCTCATTTTGTCAAGTTGGGCCTTGAGTGACTGACACAGCTTGAACAAAACCTGGGGAGACGTTCATAGCATAGGACATCACTCTGTCTGAGTTCTTTAATCCTATGGCAAGAGAATACTGGAAAATTGACATACAATAAATAGATTTGATAAATACAAAATAAATAATTCCTAATTTCAGTGATCCAGACCCTACGGACTCTTGTCACCATCACATCGAGCTACCGCATTTTACATCTGACAAGTTCTTTTTCGTCCTGCTACCCCCGTGAGTACTCTTGATCACTACACAAATGTCACATGTCACTAGTTTTCCTCTTTTAAGTTTTAGTGAGGCCATGTAATAGGCATGTACCCTCCTGCCTTGAGCAATTCTGTTCATCTATCTTCGATCATCAGTTCATACCTCCCTTTTTCACTAATTAATTCTCCCCCTACCTTCACACCCTTCTTTCTACCTCCCTGTTATTATATCCCCTCCTACACTTTCTCTTCCTATTTAGTTCCTGTTTCTTCCTTCCTGCACTATCCCTTTCCTCACACCTCTTCCACTGTACAGTATCTTCACTATCCTTTCCATATATCCCTCTTTCACACACTTTCCTTAACTAATTAATTTTGCTTAATATATTTTTGCCCACCTCTCCCTCAGTCCATTGCTTTTATCTCCCTCCCTTCCTTCTTAATTCTCCTCTCCCTCCATTTTTCCCTTTACCCTTTGAACCTCAGTCTAGGCCTATGGGATGTGATATGATTTGAGAAAGGATATCTTAGATACAGATATGTGAGTCTCAGAGACTCCTATGTTTATGATGCCTTGTCTCTCTCTCCTTTGCTCATTAACTTTTCTTATTATTTGAAGACTCCCAAAATCATGGCACCAGCTACCCGCAAAGCTGTAAATACCAAAACTCTGTTGGGTTTTAAAATACAACTGGAAAAAATCATCAGGGAAAATGGGGGACCTTTGACAAGCCTTTGGCTTCCTGTCCTCGTCGAGGCCACTAATATTAGTAGCCCTCAGGTAAATTCAGGTAAATCGGGTTATTGCTACATATCAGGGAATTAATAACCTCTCATTTTTCTCTCCCATTAGTATTATCCTGGATTCGGCCTACTCCCTTCATGACCGATCCTTCTTTGATAACCTGGGCACAGTCCTCGTCTTTGCCGTCATCGTAAGTGTTTCTTGTTTGCTTACTAAATTTATATGTAGTTTAAGCCTGCCTAGATATGCATTATAATAGTCTAGATTTGAAGATGTTTCAGGCTTCATGTGTCCATGTGAGTACAGTATTTCTATTGAAATCGCTGGATTTTAGCTTCTTAACCCACAATGTAGTTACAGTATAATTATGCCAATAGTGATACATAAATAGAGGCAAAGAGAAGAAAGTGCACACTTTGCCAGATTTTCCTGATCTTTTACCTTAATTTGCCATGAATTTGTCTTGAAGCCTTCAACAATTTCTACACTTGCCATTCTGAATAATGAATAAAAAAAGTAAAGTCTGTTTGCCCTTTCATGCAGGTTCCTCATCTGTGCTTCTTTCTTGACTTTTATTACACTGTGGTCAGTACTGCTTTTTAAAATATGTTTTCCTTACTGGGTTTTTTCATTTTACACATACTGTACTTTTAAATCTGGTAATCTTCAATATACATTTACATTATAGATGGTCTTTGATATACTACTGTGCTGTACTTGTATTTTCTCTCATACAACAAGGTAGACACTAAGCAATATTTGTTCAGTTTTCTTTAATTGCTAAGTAAAATGGCTTATCTTTTTTCAGGGAACGATATTCAATATTTTTACAATTGGTGAGTATCAGGAGGAGGTACATTCTGTTACTGGGCAGAGAAGTTGGGTATAAAATGTAAGGAACCATTTATGGACATAAACTTAGATTAAAATGTTTTATATTCAAAAATGTCAGGACAGGTTCATTTGTTCTTAATAGAAGATAAAAAACTAAGAAAAGTGTTATGGTATAAATAACTTACTACAGTTGGAGGTCTAGTAATACAGTTAGCTTCCTTCACATTTAATAAGAATTGTGGGTCCTGGTAGTACAGTCGGGTTTGTTCTCGACGCACAATTGAGAATTCCGGGTTCAAATCCCGGGCGGGACAGAAATGGTTGGCTACATTTCCTTTCATCTAATCCTTGCATTCACCTAGCAGTAAGTAGGTGAAGTTAGTCAGAAGTTAGTCAGCTTGTTTTGGGGTTGCATTCTGGGCAACCATAGTAATTCAGCCATGCCTTGACCTCGATGAAAACCTAACGTGTATGAACACACTCAGGCTTCCTGTCCCCTGACACAATTAATTTTTATAATAATTATTATTATTATTATTATTATTATTATTATTATTATTATTATTATTATTATTATTATTATTATTATTATTATTACTGTATTATTATTATTATTGGGAATCCTGGGTCCTATTTCCAGGTGGGGCATCAATGGTTGGTCACGTTTCTTTTCACCTAATGCCACTGTTCACTAGCGGTAAATAGATACTGTACCTAGGAGTTAGACAAATGTTGTGGTGTTTCATCCTGGGGAGAGTAGTAGTTTGACCTTTGAGAGACCTTGATACAAGCCTAAAGTATATACCTGTATATGTGCAAAGGCTACCTGTTCCCAACAAAATGAATTACTGTACAGGGGTACCTATATAATAGAGACTACTATGATATATGCATGACACTAAATTTGCCAATCGGTTATACACTATAATGTTAAATGCAGACTATTTGCAATGCTTTTTCCATAATAATTTATGTAAATAATAGATTTATGTGGCTTGGTAAGCTTTGAGCTGTTGCCCTAATTAGTGTGTGTGACACCATGCAATTGGCCAAGGTGTACTCTATCTAACTTGTTCAATATAATAATTGTCTCTGAGGTTAATCTTGTTTTGCCGGGTTTGATTATTCACTGTGAAATTTGTTGGCTAATGCTTAAATCAATTGTGGTGGGCTTGCATCGTGGGAAGGGTCAGTAATTTGACCATGGGGTGGGGGGGGGGACCTCGATTCAAGCCTAAAGTACTGAATATAAAAAATTCAGTTTTCCTGTCTCGGACAAAATGAATTAAATGTATCAATAGACCTTATCTTTTTTGTTTAATGAATAATCAGAATAAACTCATTATGTAACATATACATTATTATCATATATCTGTCTTTTGTCTGTTTAATAAATATAGCTTCAAAAAATGTGAAATATTGTAATACTCTGTTGCAAGGATACCAACTGTTGATGATGAGTGCGTGTAGATGGTAACTATGATGATAATTGCAGGCCCCTCACTGTATGGCTTGGCAGCTGCTGGCGCCATGGGAAACATCACCTTCTCGTAAGTCATGGCATCCACCCATTGGACTCTGGTTCAGTTTCACCCACAGATTATGCAGTACTTGCAATCTGTGGGTTAGCACTGATAAAAATTTAACGAAACTAAATTGAACAATTTATTTTCGTTAACTTCACTTCGCATTCCATGTCATACAAATTTATATATTGTACAGATCACACACAGAGATCACACTAACGTGATGCATCAAATGAACAAAACTTCGGTTTCAACCCTTTTACCCTGTCGTAGCTCAGTCGATTAAGGCAGTGTCTGGGATGCTCCCGGACGCAGGTTCGAATCCTCATCACGGCCCTTGTGGATTTGTTCATATTGTACAGTATTGTTCTCGTTTTTTTTAATATTACTACTGCACTGCTCATGCTTTTATAATTTCACCACTGCAGGTTTCCAGAGAGTTTAGTGTTTTCTTCTCTTATCTCGGCTGTGGATCCAGTGGCCGTTTTGGCCATTTTCCAGGAACTTGGGGTCAATAAAGACCTCTACTTTCTCATCTTCGGAGAGTCACTTCTGAATGGTGAGTTTTTATATCTGTTCTAGCATATTTAGTTTCATTAATTACCAAGTTTATATGTAGTTTAGGCCTGCCTAGATATGCATTATGATAGCATATGATGCTATTCCTAAGACTTTTCGATCGCCACTTATTCTTAGTTGAAGGTATGTTATCATATTTAAAAATAAGTTTTATTAAATACAGTACAGTATTGTATATATATGTTTGACTGCAGTATTAAATATTTAATACTGATAATAAGTGCAAACATCTAAATACAAAATACTGTACTGCACAAAAAAAAATAGGTACAAGAAAGGATAAATATTTTTTATCTATCATATGAGTTATAGACAAAAAATAAAAACAATCAATATTTTTTGTGTATCACTCATTCTCTAATTTAACTATGTTCTAAAAATTTGTCACCATATCTAAAAATGTCATCACACTTTACTGCCTTGAGGCATTCTAGATATGTAATTATACAAGCCTACTTAATGGTTATCCTGCTGGCCACGACCTACTAATAGCATATGCCTGATCCTGCAGATGGTGTGACAGTTGTAATGTACAACACAATGCAGGCCTTCATGTCCATGACGACGGTGACAGTGGGCCAGTATGCTCTGGCTATCGCTGCGTTCTTCATCGTTGTGTGTGGTGGCATCTTCATCGGTATCATCTTTGGTTGTCTGACAGCCCTCATTACAAAATCTACAACAGACGTTCGAGGTTTGTGTTCTCTGTTGCCGTGTATTTGTATCGAACCAAATTTTATATTAGTGATTTAGGAACAAATTATATAATGTAGTGCAGTAGTGATTTTATTTGTCCCCTTTCAGTTATGTAAGAATCTTTCTAGCGTCATTATTCTGTAGCTCCAGGAGGTATGGGTTTTATAAAAGTGTTGTTGCATATTTAAAGTATATTCATACTGTATTGGCACAGTGGATAACTACAATATAATTACTTTAGGGTAAGGTAATAAGTTTAGTACAGTACATTTTCATAAACCCACTGATATGCACAGCATTTCAGGCTAAACTTACCTGAATTTACCCAAGGGCTACCAACTATATTGTGGCCATGGCAGGAACAGGAAACCAGTGGCTTGTCAAGGTCCCCTCCATTGCATTGCAGTTAACATGTAGGGTAAAATAGTGAAGGTACAGAAAAACCGGTGAACCCTATTTCTTTCTTTGTCTCCGGTGACACTCTAGCACCATTAAATAGTCCTACAAAGATGTCATATTCCTTTTAGCACTGATGGCATGTTTTCTTACCTGACTGTCATTATCTTCGTGGGCACAGTGGATCACTACAGTAGACATCTGGGGATGACAGAATAACTTGCTCAGAAAGTACGCTCTGCACAAGCTTAAAATATATAGTACCTGTACAGTATTTTAGTTAGAATGAGTGCAATAAGAGAGTGCAGCATGTGTCATAAAGTCAACATTCAGTTATATCTATTTTCTTTTTCTTTTATTTTTTTTTGTGTATCTTAGAGCTGTAAAATTTATTAAAATTATATTTTATATCTTTTGGCTGATGAAAATTAAACTTTTTTTACCATTTTTTTTTTTTAACTTTTTTTTTTTACCATTACAATTTTACCTTTCTCATTTCCTGTAGTTCTTGAGCCTTTGGCACTCCTGGGTCTGTCCTACCTGAGTTACCTAACCGCCGAGCTGTTTCATTTCTCGGGCATTATTAGGTGAGTCGTATAACACTCCGTTCCTGCATCTTTATTGGCACGATAAACAATGTTTCCCTCACCAAATGTGAGTTTTCTGCTTTGAGAGAGAAAATAGGTACAGTATTAGATGTACATGTGTATCCATGTGTTGTATAGCCATGTTATATTCCCACGCAGAGTTCACCTTTTGTGTTCAGGGCTTATAATTTGTAGAGTATATCATGCCTTGTGCAGGACAGTACTGTATATATATTACAAGATATAGGAATAAAGATATAAAAATAAAGAATAAAGATAAAGAAAGATAAGAATAAATATTATTTTCTTTTTCTGAATAAAAAATTAATGTTATCAATTGTTCCCATTATTTTTTATTTTTTTTTTATTTTTTCTGATTAAAAAATTTTAGTAATTGATTTCTTATCTTTCAGTCTTATTGTCTGTGGGCTTCTCCAAGCACATTATGCTTTCGCAAATATCTCACAGAAGTCATATACATGTGTCAAATACTTCACCAAAATGGCCAGGTAAGTTTTCTTATTTTTCTAAGATGCCATTTTCTATGTGTGTGTGTGTGTGTGTGTGTGTGTGTGTGTGTGTGTGTGTGTGTGTGTGTGTGTGTGTGTGTGTGTGTGTGTGTGTGTTTCCTTTTAGCGAGTACATCAACCTGCTGGGCACTTGATCAAGCTTAAGGAAATAAGCTACAATAGGGTCAAACTTCAGGTATTGCTGAAAGGATAGTGACTCAGGGCCCTCCACAAAATACATGGTAGTGAAACAAAACTGTAAAATAGTTTAAACTTGCAGTGAAATATACTATCACATCAAGTAATAATTTTAATTAATTAATTAGTCTCTTTTCGTTATTTAAGTAACGTCACTGTTGCTTTTATCACATAGAGTATTGCACTACAGTATACCTATGTATTGTGTTCTTGTATTGGTTTTCTGTCAGACCTTTCTTCAGTTTTATAGATTTTCTGTTTACATAGTTATAGTACTGTGTTCGGAAATAAAATTATTGTACAGCAGAGTTGTGTTCTAAATAATGATAAATGCATGAACAGTGTACAAGAAATGGTAGGAGACGAGTATAGGTTGCGCGTCAACATGCGGCTGACAGCTGGGTGGACAGCGCTTCGGATTCGTAGTCCTGAGGTTCCGGGTTCGTTCCCCGGTGGAGGGGGAGACAAATGGGCATATGTTTCTATCACCCTAATGCCCCTGTTCCCTAGCAGTAAAGAGGTACCTTGGAATTAGACAACTGCTACGGGCTGCTTCCTGGGGGTGTGTAACAAAAAGGAGACCTGGTTGAGGACCGGGCCGCTGGAACGCTAAGCCCCGAAATCATCTGAAGATAACCTCAAGATAGGTGGGTGCAGTTTATGGAGAGGGACGCAATGTTTTACGTGTTTACACAAGACAGCTCATGAAGAGCACAGCGCACCTGGTTTTATAAAACAGTGGGATAATAATGTTGTAGATTTGATGGTGTGATTATGCTGGTTCTCCATAATGCTGTGCATGTTTGTGAGTGTAAGGAATACGTAGTAAAATAATGGATGCATCATAAGTTCTGTTTTTTCAGCACCTCTATCAGTAAAGTGGGGTAACATATGCTTTGAGCTTCACAGATTAATACAAATAAATTTGTATTTTGCTTTAGTTGCTTTAAACACTGATCTAAAGCAAAATAGATTTTGTATCAAGTTGAAATTTTACAGTTTATTTTCTGTTATGTTTCCTCAGTGTAAGAGTACCATCCATATTGATTCTTTAATGTTTATTTCTGTATTTCAACTGGTGTGTTTGTTTCTCTGTCTAGTGCAACATGTGACACCATCATCTTCATGTTCCTGGGGATGGTGCTTGTGAGCAACGACCATGTCTGGCACACGGGTTTTGTACTCTGGAGCATCGTTTTGTGTTTTATCTTCAGGTTTGTTGGTAAGTGTAACGTGCAGCATTTCAATCAAACTGAGACGGCCTCAATTTTACCTATATTGAAAAGTAGCCAAAATTGAAATGATTGATATATTAATTACAATCAAATCTGTCACATTCTGCCATGTTTAATCCGAGTTCTTTACAACACTTGAGATTACTGAGTCAAATCATGTATGATTAAGTTGTTTGATGATAGGTCTTTATGACATGATTTAAATTATCTACAGCAAAATTTATTGTAGTCTACTCTTGATATACAGAAACAAATTACTATTCTTGAAGCCGTATATAGGCTTCCTGTCCCCCTTTATAGCTAGTGACAATTAGGTAAATCCAGGTACTCGACTGATTGTATCTTGAGTTTCCTTAAAACCAGCAGTCATAGATTGGCTGACTGTTCATCATTTTCAGCACACATTTTTTTCACTTGTTTGCCTCAATTATGGTTTTTGTATGTTCTATGCACATTTTGTATTACAGTCTTGCATTACGGCACTTTGCAAACATTATGCAATTCTTGCGGGTAATACAGCACAATAATTCTTCCCATTTCTCTGTATCAGTAATGAAATTTACCTCTCTTTATAGACTGTTCCTTAAACCTATCCAGGCTATTTTTATTAAAAATAAAGACGCACATAATAGAAATGAAAGTTTATTCATATGAAAACAAGAAATGCCTTTTAAAAGCTTGTGGTTTATGTGTGAGAGCGAGCGGGTGGGTGAACGAGGCAAGCTCAGCAGTGTCTACTCTTGCTGTAAATGTATACACTTGTTAAATGTTTATAGACTTGTTGTTAAATGTTTAAATTTAGGCTGTTTCTATTCAAAATAAAGACAGACCAAAAAAAAAAAAAAAATAGTTTTTTTTTTTTTTTTTTTTGAGATATATACAAGAGTTGTTACATTCTTGTACAGCCACTAGTACGCGTAGCGTTTTGGGCAAGTCCTTAATCCTATGGTCCCTGGAATACGATCCCCCTGCCGCGAAGAATCGTTTTTTCATCCAAGTACACATTTTACTGTTGCGTTAAACAGAGGCTACAGTTAAGGATTTGCGCCCAGTAAATCCTCCCCGGCCAGGATACGAACCCATGACATAGCAATCAAGTATTAAGCAATCAAGCAAGTACTTCCAATGCAAAGCTAATGAGCTAACAGAAATGGTTGGGCTCGTTTTCTATCACCTAATGCGTCTGTTCACCTAGGTAGATTTACCAATAATTTAAACACAGTTTATTCAAAATTAATGAATTCAAACAATTGTACTGTCATACTTACCACAGCAATGATGGTGGGCACCACTTGGAAGAAAGGGAAGAAAATTAAATCATTCACCTTTGCCCGAAACGCTATGCGTACTAGTGGCTTTAGGTATTGTATGTACTACCTCTATCTTTAAATCTAACAGAATGTTTGTACTGTAACGCTGCAACTATGTATGTACTGTTCCTAAATTATTATTATTATTATTATTATTATTATTATTATTATTATTATTATTATTATTATTATTATTATTATTATTATTAAATGTATTTCACAGAGATAGTAGTGTTTTCCATTTTATATCTTACACTCAAAAATTCCCATAACCTTTAATATTTACTCACTGAGAATACTCACATTCTTGCTCCTCTCACTCATTCACCTTTTCCTTGGCAGGGGTGTTTATGCTAACGGGAATTATGAATAGCTACCGGGTAAAGAAGATCGGTGTAGAGGAGCAGTTCATCGCAGCGTATGGTGGGCTGCGCGGGGCCGTGGCCTTCTCTCTGGTCAACATGCTAGACAAGAGCTTACAGCCACGCAGGATATTTGTCACAACTACACTTGTTGTTATTCTTTTCACCATCTTCATTCAGGTATTTTGGAAGATTTAAATAAATAGATAGAAAGGAGATAGAGGAATAGTTGGGAGAGAGAGAAAAATATATGTAATGGAGAGAAAAAATAGATGGAAAAATAGAGGAAAATCAAAGAAATATATGAGATGGAAAGTGCATAGGTAAGATAGAGAACCCAGCAGGGTAAGAGAAATCCCAGGGATTGCACCAAACCACCTGGGACCCCCTATACTATTGTAATGACTTGGTGCTGTCCCTTGATAGTTCCCCCTGTTTTTACTTATGCTTCCTAATAAGTTTTTCTCGATTTTGGGCTGGTTTCTAATCCCCCATACTCCCCTTCCCCCATACAGAGAGCCAGATTGTGGTCCTTTCTCCCATTAGGCTAGAGTGGGTCTCGGAGGCCTGGTGCATCTTCCCAGAGCACAGCCGGACCACTGCTTAGGTTAAGGAGCTATTGAGGGGGTCTGTCCAGAAGTAGCTACATCCTCAGCAGAGGACGTAGCTAATGTTAGGTTACCAAGATCTTTACCCCATGCCAATAAATAATAACCTGCAGATAACTACAACAAAACACAACCTCACAGAGATAAAGTAATGACTATATATATACCACATTCACAGTCAAAATGTATGCTACTGGACTCACATTTTAGCTGCATTTAGGGCCTGGTTCAGTATTTTCCAGTGTCTTAATAGCAAAGTATTGGAATACATCCTTCGTTAAAATTGGGAGTGGCCTTTATTGTTTGGTAAATAACAAAATACAGTTATGTAGGTATATTGTATATAATAACCCAACAAATTATTTACATATTGTTATTTTGAACTTAAGACTAATCCAACAATTTTGTCTTTCAGGGAATGACAATTAAACCGTTAGTCAACCTCCTTCAAATTCAAAAAAAAAAATCTGGCAAGAAAAATCTAAGTGAGGAAATTAATGACACAACCATGGACCACATCATGGCTGGGGTGGAAGAGATTCTTGGCCAGCATGGAGATTTCTACCTCAGGGTGAGTTGTGAGATGCTGGTGACAACAAGTTTGGAGAAATTAAGATACTGAATTGAGAAAAGAGCAGCTGGCCTGGCAGCCCCTTCATCATGGATGAGTCTATCCTTAACTTCACTCGTGGTGCAGTACCGCTGGGTAATCTGCTCCAAATTCTGTGCTAATAATAATAAAATTATATGTTAGATTAAGGATCTGCCCAAAACGCTATGTGTGCTAGTGGCTTAACAGGAATGTCAAACTTTTAAGTCTCTGTACTCTCATAAATCCAATGTACCTTACAGAAACCACAATAGCATGATGCATCAAATGAACAAATCCATAAGATTTGCCCGAGTGCATGGGGGAAATTGTGTAAAATCCTGGTGTGTGTCTCGGAGAGGCTGCAGGATCCGTGTGAATTCAGTAGAATTCCCGGTTGCAATTCTTTTGACCATGTCATTGCCTAATTGACTAAGGCAGCGTCTGGGATCATCCTGGGTGTAAATTCGATTCCTCATCAAGGCCCTTGTGAATTTGTTAATCCAATGTACCTTCTTGTATATAAATAAAGAAATAAATAATAATAATATTTATCTATTTATTTATTTATTTATATTTATTTATTTATTTATTTATTTATATAAATACAAGAATGTACAGTGGGTTTATGAGAGTACAAAGCATTGATATTTTAACATTTTTGAAAAGCCACTTAACACGCATAGCATTTCGGGCAGGTTTAATCATTTTATTCAGGTAAAAGTACATACACACAAAATGAGTTACAAACAGAATGTTGGATTTCTAAATAGTGCTAGTATATATGTACTATGCTAACACATTATCCTTTTAGTACATACCTGTGTAGTACTGTAAAGTAAAGAAAACTTATTTAAATTTGTAGAAAACAATTTGATAGAACGTAACATACAATCATGTTTAAATATACGCCATGTCTTTATGAATCCATAATGCATAATACACCTTCATTTTCTGTCATGCTGACAAATTAAGAAAATTTTGCTTATACCAGTGAAAAATAAGGAAACCATTTTTAGAGAAATTAAGTCATAATTAGTGACTTTCACCTTCATTAGTGACACCACTATTTCATTTCAGGAGCTAATGGTACACTATAATGACAAATACCTGAAAAAGTGGTTTCTACGACCCACTTGTGAAACAAAACTACAAAGGCTTTTTGAAAAAATTGCAATATCGTAAGTATAAATTTGTAACCGTGGTACAGTGTTGACAGTTGTGGTTAATTTTCATGGCATTAGATATATATTTAGTATCTCTCTCTCTCGTGATTTGGTTAATCAGTATTTTTACAAACAAGTACCTACGGGCTCACCATAGCCCGTGCTACTTGGAACTGTTTGTTCCAAGTAGCGAGTCTTTAACAACAACAACAGGTTATTCAGTACCGGGAAAGAGAACCCTAAAACCAAGCTTAAGCAGAAAGCTAGTCAGAGAGATATAAATGACTGGTAAAAATGATAGAAATGAACATTGTACCATTGGACACCCTGTGCAGAGACATCCATAAGGAAAATCTGGATAATTGAATCAGACTCTGAAGAGCTGTAACCTCAGTGGTTGGGTGTGAGGTACAAAGTGAGGGGTGTTGGCTTATAAGTTGGTTGATATAACACCAACTTGTATCAAAGTTGGTGTTGATATTATATAAACAGTAATATATTTACTGTTCCCCTGTAAATATTGACAAGGGAAATATTTAGGCACGTCTCCTTACCCCCTTTATCACGTAGCAGTAAATTGGTAACCAGGATTTAAGGTGACTGTTGTGGGTGGTCACATCTTGGCATGATCCTAAAGGGGTAAAGTAGTGTACAGTAGTATGCTGTACTCTTCACCACTCATTCTCTACTAATCTGCTGTTAGTAGACCTGTTGGTTAATGGTTTATTAACAGTAGACCATTATTATAGTCTGTCAAATGTAGACAGCATAAATCCAGAGCAAAAAAAAAGTCGAACCGAGTCACAATACCGAACAATTTGCTCATGAAACATTGCCTCACAAATTACTAACTTCCTACTGCTACTATAGTGACTGTACTATGATACAGTAGCCAACAAGAGCAAATCCATATGAGCCGAGATAAGGGTTCAAACCCATGCACTGGGCGTTCCCAGCCCACCCTCTAGACAATTATGCCATGACATGGACCATGTCGTGGCACAATTGTTTAGAGCGCATGCCTGGGAACACCCATGGCATAGGTTTGAACCCTCATCACAGCTCCTACGAATTTGCTCGTTGATGCTTCACGATAGTGTGACTATTCTCTGTGGAGTAGCAAAACAGGTAAACAAATATGATTATGATAAAACATAAAAGATTTAAATATTTTTCTATATATTTCATAATAGATGTTGTTTAAAACTTTTTTTTGCTTGTAGAGAGCATTATGCTCACCTCTATGGTCCAGTAGCCATGATTGAGGATAAAGTCACACCTCTCTGTGCCTCAACCAAGAGAGATAAAAGATCGCGAGGTTCGTCCTTCTCATCATCACATAAGGATGAGATAATGCTTCAACCAAGGTCAGTCATATAATCCACTCTGTATTCTTACTGTATTTTCAATCCCTAGACAAATTCTGTTACATTTGAGTGAGAGAGCTATTGAACTAAGTTAGTGACTTGAAGTGACTTGAAGCACATCAGTTAGTGAAGTTAGTACACAACTGATTGTACCCAAACTTGGGTTGACTACCTGCCTGTTGGTGATTCCGAGGATCAATGTCCCCACGACCCGGTCTCTGACCAGGCCTCCTGGTTGCTGGTCTGATCAAACAGGCTGTTTGACTTGGCAGCTTGCAATCTGATGTACAAGTCGCAACCTGGTTGCTCAGGTGTCAACCAGGCTGTGTCTTGTCAGAATACGAGAAGCTGCATTGAACAGCCTGGTTGAGCAGACCAGGCTGCGGGGGACGTTGATCCTCGGAATCATCGAGCAGGGGAAATATTTAGGCACGTCTCCTTACCCCCATTTATCACGTAGTAGTAAATTGGTAACCAGGATTTAAGGTGACTGTTGTGGGTGGTCACATCTTGGCATGATCCTAAAGGAGTAAAGCAGTGTACAGTAGCATGCTGTACTCTTCACCACTCATTCTCTTCACTTATTTCACAATGTATGCCCATCACACCAACAAGTGTTATACACCACACAGCCATCACTAGCATCAGTCATCACCACAACCATCACTAGCATCAGTCATCACCACAACCATCACTAGCATCAGTCATCACCACAACCATCACTAGCATCAGTCATCACCTCAACCATCACTAGCATCAGTCATCACCACAACCATCACTAGCATCAGTCATCACCACAACCATCACTAGCATCAGTCATCACCTCAACCATCACTAGCATCAGTCATCACCTCAACCATCACTAGCATCAGTCATCACCTCAACCATCACTAGCATCAATCATCACCTCAACCATCACTAGCATCAATCATCACCTCAACCATCACTAGCATCAGTCATCACCTCAACCATCACTAGCATCAATCATCACCTCAACCATCACTAGCATCAATCATCACCTCAACCATCACTAGCATCAGTCATCACCTCAACCATCACTAGCATCAATCATCACCTCAACCATCACTAGCATCAGTTATCACCACAACCCATGACCCTTTTATAGACAAAGTGAAGTACATGAAGATCTCAAATCAACATGTACCTGCCTTTATATTTATGCCTCAAGTATATTTTCAAAGCGATGTTTTCTGATATTAAGATTCCATTACAATTAGGTTGCGCCTCGAGGATGAAGATGAAGATCTCACACACAACATTCCTGGCCTTGTTAATGATGGGTAGGTAGATGCCTTCAACATGTTAATATGTGAAAATATATTGAGTATAGAAGTGATTAGATTCACCTATTACCTCTAATAAGAATGTTATACTGTAGTTTAATTGATTACTTTCTAAATAGAAATGGCACTCCGCATTCTTGTCCAAATTTTTGTTTGGCTCAGTATCTTATTATACAGTATATGTAAATATTTAACTAACTACATTATTATTATTATTATTATTATTATTATTATTATTATTATTATTATTATTATTATACACTGCTGGGTTTTCATTTGAAATATATATCCAGTCGTGTCCCATATGTTGTCAGTTGTATGCGGAAAACTGTGAAGAAAATATGACCTCAGTTACCCAGGGAAACAATAATTTGGTGACTGTTGAAGATGCATATATATATATATATATATATATTGCTGCTGTTTTGAGAACAACAGCAAATTTGTTTTGCAAATTAATATGGGTATTTGAATGTAGAATAATATTGCATATTTTGTATGTGGAGTATGAAATTAGACTAATAATTATGTATGTAGGAACGTTCAACTAAGGAAGAAGCGTGGATCATTCGTACACGTGAGACAAGCTCGGGTGGCTTCCGAAGTGTCCCAGGGCTCCGCTCAACAGCACGATGATGATGCACACGCACTGCGTAAAGCTTTCAGGAGCAACCCATATAATAAGGTGTGCATTTTACATATTTACTTTTTAATTCAGAGTTGTATTAATGACTTACGAAGGTACTTTAGAACCACTTGTAATTCTTAATAGTTTCTTTGTGTTGTGAGGAGGGAGGCAGTAGTAATTTACAAAATAATTCACTAATAAAATATAAAGGCCCTCCACCCCCCACCCCTCCTCACTTCTCTTCTGAACTTACAGTACTTGTATGTTAATTAAATGTGGACAAGCAGAACACTTGAAAGATATAAAAGATGCACCTCGAATACAAGAGGAAACACAGAGTGACCGACACCATTATTTTGAATTTTTGAGCCTTAAACAGACAAACAAGTTGGATACATTACTGTACATTTATTAAAAAGAGACAAGGAATAGGATACAAGATACAACATGGAATCCAGTTTATTTATCATCTCTCCAGATTAACTCTCAAATAAGTGAGTAACTCTCAAATAACTCAAAAGTGAGTTGCGCACCTCACAAACACACCCAAAAACACCACTTGTCAACACACACCCAAAACACCACCTGTCAACACACACACACACACGGGGGCCGGTGGTTGAGCGGACAGCACGCTGAGCGCGTGATCCTGTGGTCCCGGGTTCGATTCCAGGCGCCGCCGAGAAACAATGGGTAGAGTTTCTTTCACCCTAATGCTTCTGTTACCTAGCAGTAAATAGGTACCTGGGAGTCAGTCAGCTGTCACGGGCTACTTCCTGGGGTGTGTGTATGGTGTGGAAAAAAAAATAGTAGTTAGTAACAGTTGATTGATGAGCCGAAAAAGCAGAGCTCAAACCCCGCAAGTACAACTAGGTGAATACACACACACACACATCATTACCCCCCTCACAAAATTGCGTGGGAAAACTACTTTACATACGGAGACAAACATTTTCTCATAACATACTTGCAAACATTAGCCATTGAAACTTAAACATTATTATTACAAAATAAAATAAAAACAAAACATTTAGGATTAATGGAAATAAAACTAGAACCTTCATACCAGTCATTACAGTGTGAGAACAATTTATAATGATGCACCAAAGAAACATATTTATATAATAATCTAGTAAAGGTTTAGAGTGAAATTATAAGTAATGTGCATTGTATATTTCATTAATAACTTTCTTTTTCAGCTTGTTGTAGTTAAACTCAAGGTGTACAGGGATTTGTTCACACATTAATAGGACATTTCTATTCTCGGCATTTACCAGATAAGGCCTATTATTGGACAGTTTTTAATTTGTTTTCCCTTCTTTTAACTTACCAATGTTGTTTTGATAACTAATGGTGTTATTGTTATTTCAGTTGATGAGGTTTAGCATTGCATACAGTATTACTGTACTGTACTGTATTTTGAATAATAATGTAAAAGACATTCCAGCCATAAAATTGTGAATTGTATGGTGATTTAAATTATTTGTATTTTTACAGTTAATATTACTCCTTTAATATCAGGTAAATTCAGGTAAATATACAGTATGGTATATATATTGTGTAAGTAGTAACCTTATCAGTTTCTGTCATGGTTTAATGTAGTCTCTTTTGTCACATGTACATTTCTGTATGTGTAGAAACCAAGATTGCTGGTACGTATTGATATAATACGTACCAGCAATCCGTATAATATACGTATTGATATAATACAGTGTTGATGAATGATACAAGCCTCCAAGGTTTGTGGGGGGGGGGGGGGGGGGGAGGGGGGTCTGTATCATTCTCACTCATGTAAGTAAAGTGATTTGAGTGTGTCAAAAAGTTCTTTTATGTCAATTTTGTTATAAGTAAATAAAATTAGGCTTCATTCATCACAGCATGTTTAAAAAACATTATAAATATTGGGTATTGGTTGAACACTTTGACAGACTTAATATCTTAATAATTAATGAAAGTACTAAAGGCAGTCTAGAATCAAACTAATTAATAATTAATTAATTAACAGAATAATTAAATACAATTTAATTATCATTTAATTAAAAAAAAAGGGCAGCTATTCCATACCAATTTGATTAGCAGCCAAATATTACTTAAAACTTGAGATCAATTCCAGAATCAAGATTTATTATATAATGATCAACTATTTTTATTAGAAGTAGTGCTAGCTTATCTCTGATCAAGATTAATTCTAAAACAATTTTCCTATAAGTGAAGTGCAAATTTTTAGACATTTCTGTCATGGTATTTAGACCAGATATCTGTAAATTAAGATTGAAATATTTGCCGAGAGAACTGCGACACTCGAAAAACGGAGAAGAGAAAAACAGTAGGTGCATTATCTGTTGAGGGCGGGAAAAAGTGCACCATGTAACATTGTTGAAGACCCTTGTAAAAGAGATGCTGAAATAGTGATGCTGAACATGGCAGGGAAACTGTTACAAAATAATTCAAGAGATGTTCTGTAGTTTTGAGGGGCATTAAAATAAAGTTCTATGGTATTGGAGATGGATCAGAGCTTTGCAGAAAGACACTTCAGTTAAAGACTCTGCTTTTATTACAGGTGTATAATAAGGACTTCCCTTTCAGTGGTGTATTTCAATAGCTTTTCAACAGCTGCCTGGCTGGCCTTTGTCAATATTTTGCAGAATTGGATACAGTACTATAAAGAAGTTTAAAGTTCTTGAGATATATTGATGATGTGAATGAAATATTATAGAAAATTATGCAATGTGGATGATGCAAAAGAAATACTGTAAGTCTATAGTTGTGATGTGATAAAGTTATAAAAAATTCAAAAGCAGATTACAACACCCTGGTGGTGGAGTTACCTGTTCACCTCACAGCATAAATGTCCTGGGTTCGAGTCCTAGGCGGGGTAGAATTACTGGGCACCAATCATTTGCTATTCCCCCTTATTCACTCAAATGTTATTGGGGACCTGGTTGTAAATGATTAGCAGATTGGGTCCTGGGAAATACATGTATGGTAAGGTCTCATTTGAGCTTTGAGTGAAGAGTTCTTAGCCTGGAAACAAGAATCTCAAGTTTTCTGAAATTAGAGAGGCGCTGTGAAAGTGATTTTTAAAAATATGGGTAAATAGTATTTTTTATTTTACAGTACTTGAGATGTGATAAAAGTTATATCTATTTATAGATATTTTTTTAGACATTCCAAGTTTGAGACACGGCATGTTGAACTGTTAGTATGCAGAATGTAAGTCGCAATAACATCGCTGAAAATTTAGACACCCAACTCACGCATCTGAAAATGAAGGAAATGACAATTACCATACTGCTATTAGATACAGTAGTATCTATTAGAAGTCTTGTGAAAGTATTGGAAATCATTGAGGCATTTAAAAATGGCAACTTTTTTTAAGAGTTGGGATACAGTGTGGAGTTGAACACATTGGCACATTCCTAACTCAAGGTCACTCTTTAGGTTATTGGAGAGGTTTTACTTCATGTAAATTCAGAACTATTGAAATATTTGTTGAAAAAAGTGATGGAGGATTTTTACATCACTCTAACTTTTTACTTAAACACTAACATTGACTGATCAGCCATTGGTAGTCATCACACCACTTGCATATTGACCAGATATCACAATAATCAATCTAGCAGATACTACTGATATCACAATAATCAATCACCCATTAGTAGTCTGAATCATATTGATCAATCACCCTTCGACAGTCTAATTAGTTTTCATTATGTCTTAATGTTCGTGACTCCAGCAGAATGAGGAGCTAAACGAAGACGTCCCTGTGAAACGAACTCTGCGCTGGGCTTTCACTAACAATAGCATCGCTTCTCATATCAACAGGTAGATCACGGAGAACAATGCACTTGAATATGAATGAGTGCAGAATATAAAATGATAAAACATTGAGAATATTGAAGCTCTACTCTCTAAGTGGTTCCTTGGTTCCTTTTTCTAGCCATGTTCCCATAAGATTCACCCAGGCCTTGAAATATATGAGGCTCTGATGACCTCTTCGTTCCCCATGGCAGGGATGTTTGCTAATGGTCCTTTCATCTAAATTGAGGAGGAAAGTCCTTGAAGAATTCACTATTCCCCCTCGCAGATAGCACACAGACAAAGTCCAACAACATACAGTGAGCTGGGTAACCATCACATGAAGCAAACACTAAAGTATGAGGGGGCCCATACACAGAGATAGTCTTATAGAATTATCTGTCGGTGAAGCTTGACTGAATTAGTGTTCACAGGGGAGCATGTCAAGTGGGTGGACACCAGGCAACAAGTGAGGGCTGCCGGTTTCCCATACCCTGTTGACATGTTGCGTGCTGCATTCTAGAGGCAGTCATGAATGGTGGCTAATGGTTTAATCAGTAGTTAGCAGAGCGATAATTAGTCTCCCTATTGAGTCTAGGGTTTCACTTGAGAGGGGGGCATTGAGAAGTTTTACTTTATTTTATTTTGTCTAATAATAAGCTGGTCATTCAGTGGTGGACAGAGAATTCTCCACTATCTCCTCTCCATAATGTATTTACCTGAGGCCCACCATCTATCTACTGGCTCTTGGTGTGCAACCTGTCCTCCTACAAAGAGCGTCACTTTTCGCTCGTATGCGTTACATAAGGCCGAAAATTGTTGTACTAGAAAATGCAGGCGGCTCGCAAAAGTGATATGCTGCCACGTTTTCTGTTTTGGGTCCTTTGGTAGGTTAGGAAAGGACACGTTAAATTGACTGTTTTCTTGACGTTGGGAAACCTTAGGAGGACGAGTTGTGGTGAGGACAGGAAGCCGGTGGCTTATCAATGGTCCCTCCCATATTACTGATGATTTTTTACAACTGGCTTCAGTGGATAGGCAACTCTTCTGTCCTACATTGTGGCTTGTTGAGCTTGAAGCTGTTGCCTCTTGTGTGTGTGTGTGTGTGTGTTACATTAGAGTGGTCCCAATAGCACAGTCCGGTTCATTTTCGACTCACAATTAAGAATTCCAAGCTCAAATCCCTGGTGGGACAGGAATGGTTGGGCATGTTTCCTATTACCTAATGCCTCTGTTCACCTAGCAGTAAATAGGTACCC